TGGTTTTAAGAAAGAGAGACGAATTCTTGCTGACTTGTCATTTGGTCTTATCAGGATTTGATAGGATACTCTTTTTTTTTTTTTTAGTTATTTTGAAGCAAATGTTGGAAAACGAATTTCACTATTTTTGTACAATTTTGCGAATTTCAATAGGTCTGACAATGGGATTAGGTAAGAAGAGGTTTGTGGATGCTGAAATTCGCAAAATAAGATTTCCGGAATGAATTTTTAGAGAAACAAATAATGGAGTTTGTCTTGCGACAAATCATTGATCCAACCCATTAGTTGTGTAGTTTGATGTTTGAGTTACATCTTGAAATTTTGAGTTAAATTTTGTTTGAAATTTAACTACATTCTTTCATCACCATGTAACGTGTCCTTCCTCATCTGCTCATCTATCACATCTTCTATTTTGTTAACCATTTTAAGTATGTGGCTTTTTCTTCTGTGAGTTTGAAAAAGAAAAGCTCCACAAATGAGTGATTGTCAATCACCATATAAATTAGCCAGCCCCTCGATGACCATAGTCCAGCATTATCCTTAGCGAATTGAATGCAGGCCAATCCAGTTTACCCATAACGATCAATGTGCAGCTAAGATTCTCCATATGAGCTTCTAACAACTCACTTTGTTTGCATACTTCACTCCATATAATATTTGCTTTCTTAGAATTGAACTCCGGTTCGGAACAAATAATGCATCGTATAATTCTTAGAAAAACGTGCATTTGTCCAGCCGTACAATGGGTAAGCGTGTAATAAATTAGTAAAGTCGTCGAAAAGTGTACATTGAAAATGAATAAATACATAGTCTAGTCTTGAAGTAAAATGGTAGTTGAGACCATTTGACGGATACAACAGATCCAAATATGAGATTCCCATTGGAGAATTAATGTACCATTTATACGCCTATAATCTCATTGTCAAATACTACAACTAACATAGATAGTTTAACTCATTTGTCATATAGTTTTTTCACATTATATTGATTTTGAAATTTATACTTCTTCCGTTTTTCTATAAAGATTTTCTACTCCTTCAGTTTCATGAAAAAGTATCGTCTTAAGACATTATTTTTGTTTCGCAAAAAATAATGACTTCACTTAGGATTTGCTGAAGATATTGAGCCGATGATAGCATATTCAAATGAATTGTTTATAGTTTTAACAAATTTATTGTTATCGCACAATCAAACAAAGAACAATAACTCAAAGCTTAGAAATCAAACACACGAATTGCTTCATCTAATTGTAAACATAACTTGGCTTTATTTCACGCCAAGTTAGTTCGAAAGGGTTTCTTCGGCATCTTCAAGACTTTTTGGTTTGAAATCAAGGGATTCATCATTATAAATATCCCACCACTTCTTGACTAACATTTTGACGTCTTCTCTGTCCATGTGAGCTTCTTTTCCCGTGAACTTCCATGGCTTGGATCCCTATCATTTTTCACCAATAATAAAGATCAGAATGACTATACTTTTCTTAACCGAGAGAGGTTTATAAACTAGAAAGATGTTACTCAAAGTGACTTTAAATTATATGGATATGAAAGGGATCCTACTAGAATGAACAAAATGATTTTAGGGGTTGTCTTAACTATTCACAAGTCTGATAGAAAAAACTGTAGACAACGGGTATTTGCCTCAATTTTGATTCTCTTCTGTTTTCTGTTTTAGGTTTATTCACCCTAACTTCCATCAAAAGAGTACTTACAGGTGCACAATAATGAATAACCTTGACTCTCTATATCTCCACATTCTCCGGATGGCGCCAGAGTAAAGACATTATCAGGTTGTAAACCAGTGGGATCGGTTTAAACACTTTCTCAAAGAACACATTGAGAAAATCCTGCCCAAATCCCACATACCAAAATCATCATCAAAACTAATTATTAGTACTACAGAAATCATGAACTTCTAAATCAAAATCAACTAAGAATAAATGAAATTACTCATATCTTTTTTATACTCAACAGCAAAATGTGATTCCTAACATTTTTTTAATAAAATCTAATTCGCATCATTATATTCCGAATGTTTGTATTATATAAGTATAACTCACTTGTTCAGCAAATGCTGAAGGTGGTGTGACCTTGAGAGACTCGAGGAGGCTCTCATACGTAGAAAAGTTAGGCTCAAACACAAACATTCCAGCGTTGTAGTACGGAGGAGGAGGAGATTCCAATTCAGCCGGCCACCTGACCTTATCCGGGCACTGCTGACAATACCCAATTGTGTATTGCGGCGTGTGACTCCATGTTTTCTCACAGAAACAGCCAATCACGCCGTGCAAGTAACCGTCCGACAAATCAAAGAGCTCGTGTATATTGTCATAGACTTGAATATCCGCATCCAAGAAAACCATCTTGTTGTAATCTTTAAACTGCATGGTTTAATAAACAGTATAAAGAAACTTATATATTTTTAACAAATCTTAGAATATTTTCCCCTGTTTTTTAGTTTTGAAGACTTTGAGATGCTTACGTTCCAAATACGAAGCTTCGAGTAGTTGATAATGTAATAATCCCTTGCATATGAGACCTGGTCGTTCGGAGGATAAATAGGCTCGATCTCGCGCAGTATACAGCCTTGAGACCTCAAGATCTCTCTATGTTCCTGAGGCACATCAGGTAACATAGCAACAACAAGAGGATAAACACTGTTCACCTTACGCAAACCCTTTGCTAATCCCACCACTCCCTTCACGTAGTCTCCATTGTGTTGGGTTCAAAAGCTTTAAGAGATAAACTGTTTTGCAAATTTCAAATCTACTTAATTATCTTGACCTCAAGGTCTTTAAATACACGAAGCAAAACAACTGATGGATCACCGATCCTAAAAACATTGAAACAAAGTCATGCAAATGGGGAAATGGAGATATGGAGATCGAGCTCCTAAAACTAAGGAAGACTAACTGCTCTAATTATTAAACAAAAGGAAACGTGTTCTTCTTGACCAAGTCTCTTTGATTTACTTGGAGTTTGGTTTTCTTAATTAAACCGGTTGGTTCCCATCACATTGCCTGCCAAAAACGTCACATATGCTCTTGCTTGATGCTCCTTCTTGGTTACATTGGTCGACTCGATGGAAATTGTAGGAGCCATTTGGATTTGAAAAGTATCAAAAAAGGAGGTTGTTTATGATGAAGATTGTGTGTGCCAACTTGGTTATGTTAGGCCTTTGGCCTCTGAGTTCTCACTTGTTTATGTGATAGCTACCTGGCTACTACCAAAGTCTAATTAAATCATATATAAAGAAAATTAAATAGCATATACAGAAATAAGGTTTTGTTCCCACCTTATTGGTCCATGTGTCTTCCACATCATTGTCATGTAAGGAAATTTTGAAATTTACAATCTTCACAAATTTTTCTTGTTTTGCATATTCTAAAAAGAAAATAAAAATATATTACAACTAATTCCATTTATTAATTGTTAAATATATTAACTGATTCTAAATGTATTATTCTGCACTTATTGCATATTATTGCATATTTTTGTAACTTCCATATTAATAATTATGCTAATTATCCCAATGCAGTAAATACAATGTATTATTATGCACTTACTATACATATTTTGTACCTTATAAATTAATAATGCATTATATTCCTTTCAAAGCAATAAATTCAGATTTTTTTTTAAATCTACTCTTTTTGTTTCATAAAAAGTATTATTTTGACAAAGGCAATCAAGGAAAGAGATTTATCTAAATTAAGAGAATTGTTATCATGTTATCATAATAGATATTGGAAGTCCGGCTGTTATTGTGGATTCGCGAACAACTAATCGTCTACTTTCGATTCAAACAAGAACATTTTGGTATCGCTAATGTGTCGTCAACAATTATTGTTCTCACTTAATTTCTGGTGTGGAAAAGACCATTAGTTTCTCTTTGTATCGTATTTGTTGAATTTCTTTGTTGATGTAATCTGTTTTAAATCAGTTTCAATAAAAAAACGTGTTAAAAAGTGTCATTTTGACTTAGACAGTTTGACTACACAACTAAAACCCTAGCCGCTCAAGCTCTAAACCAGAAAACTCCTCTTTGTTCGTGATTGGTGTAGAGACTATCCAAC